CTTGTGTGTATTTTGTTGTCTATATGGGAGGATTTAAAATACGTTGGAAATTATTCATCTTGGTTTGGGTATCATAGCATTCCACTGTCATTTTCCTTCATAGTACTGTGTTAGAACGATGGATTCTTGCCACCATGGCGTGGAGGGAAATGGAGAATTCCAGGACTGGGTTTGGGGCCTCTTTTTCTTGGCAGCTGTTCACTTTCATGGTTGATGAGAACAATGTCTTCTGTGGCTATTTGTGGGACATGTTTAACAAACAAGCCTCTGTCATTCCAGATGAGGCAGTCTGTGGTCTTTGTCTCTGAACACATATTACTCATTTCCTCCATAAAGAACAAAGTCAAACTCATCAATGGGTCAACACGTGTCACCAAAGACACAAGAAGAGGCAGGAGATGAAGCATTAGTGACATTCATACAAAGGATGCACAGGCAAGAATCCATAAGTTGAGGGCCCAGAGAGGAAAAAGGAAAATAAAAGGAATACACAGAAGGAGAGAGGAAAACGGGGGTTTATGGCATTCTTAGTGATGGTTCCTTTTCCCAACTCCAGTGACGGGGTGGGTTGGGTATCTACCCTTTCCCTCCAGCCCCAACTTTATAGATACCACATACAGGCTCATAGAGGATTAAATGACCTTCTAGGATAGAAGATATGCACTAGAAGGTACCAGCAGCAGGACTTAAATATCAGCCACATTCCTGAGCCTGTGTGTCCTTTGTTGTCTCATGCAGCTCTTCTCAACACCAACTGGCATGTGATTGGAAAACAGAAAGAATTCACCATCAATTCATGATTGCTGGCCATTCAATATATGCTAAGCTTTCTGCTGTGGAGCTGCATAGTGTGGGGAAATCATGGACTGGCAGTTAGAATTGGTAGTCAAAAACCTTTAGGATAACAGCAATTATAGCTAACATCTGTCAAGCACCAACTCTATGCCAGTTTTGTTCAAAACATTCTCTTTTCATGATCCCATTTGATCTTCAGAGCTTTTGCTTGATATAAGTCCCTGTGATCCTGTTTTATAGGTGAAGAAACCGAGGGACAGAATGGTGGATGGAGATGAGTGAGTTAGTACCATCATTCTGGGCTGACCTGGTGGATTCATTGATGATGGAGGTACCATGACTGGATGGGTGTTTGTCCAGCTGAACTCTAGGCAGATAGGGGTTAGAGTATTCATGACAAGCTCTGAAGCCTAATCTCAGCAGAACCCCAGGCATGCTGGTAGGATAAGGGAAGTTCAGATAGAAAGCACAGAGCCTGGGGCTGGGGATTTTGCTCAGTGGCATAAGTGCCTGCCTTGCAAGCGTGCAGTCATAAGTTTGATCCCCGGTACCAAAAAACAAAACAAAACAAAAACAAAAAGAAAGCACAGAGCCACAGATTCAGCAAATTGTTGGTGGAACAGAAAGGAAAGAGCGTGGGCTTTGGGATCAGGTCCAATCTAGTGTTCCAATCTTGGTCCTGCTACTTCTTCACTGGGTGACTGAGAAAGACACTTAATCTTCCTGAGCCCAATTTCCTCTTCTGTAAAACAGGCCTTGCCTTGTGGAGTTGTAATGAAGAGTGAACAAGTTTGTACCTGACATGAGACTATGAACCTGGGGCAGTATTTGTACAGGAGGGACACCATAAACATATGAGAATGGGTGAGAAGGAAAGCAAGGGTCAAAGTGAGGAAATCATGAAATACTTGAAGGCGAGATGACATGTGCCTTCAAAGATGCGTAGATTTCCCTGGCTTTCATGTGAACAAAAGCCAGACATAAGTTCTAGATGAGCCTGCTATTGTTCCTCTTGGGGACAGGCAGAACCTCCTGGGATGCTTGTGAAGTTCCAGTGGGCTTTAAGGAGCTGAGAAGAATGCCTCATAGAGGCTATACCATGCTTGGTTATTGTGGTAGTTAATTGACTAATTGTCAACTTGATGGGGGAATGCCCAGCTGATTTGAGTCAGCATTGCTGCCAGAACTGTATAAAAGGAGAAGAGGAGGGAACGATTTCAGCTGATCTTCCATAAAGGAACTTCCTTATGGCTGCTTTTCTTCAGGAGAGTTCTGGTGATTTTTCTTTAAAGGAGCTTTGGCTTCTTTCTTTCGTTGGGGGAGATCAATCCTCATCTTCATCCCGGGGTGCTCTCCTGGCCTTCAGTGTGGATCCCTCAGATTTCTGGCCAGGCTTTTTCCACAGATATTTTAGCTTCTGGCGGTGGCCCTTCAGCGTTTTTGGCTCAGATCCTTCAACCTTCTGATATGAGCTTGCATGGGACATTGCTGTGAGCTCCAAGACCTTGACCAGATCCTCTGGGTCTGCAGAGTGCACACAGATGCCTTATACTCTGATACAGTTGACTCTAGTAAATATTGACTAAGACAGTTCTCCAGCTAGAAATGATTCCTGAGAACCTACAGGGGGCAAAGCTCTGTGCCTGGTGTGTGTGTGTGTGTGTGTGTGTGTGTGTGTGTGTGTGTGTGTGTGTGATCCCCTTCCTCCCAGTAAGAGAATCTCAGTTTTAGAGAGGTTGAATGTCTTGCTCAGGTCATGCTAAGTCATGCTGTGATGTAGAGTCCTGCTGAGATTGAGTGACCAGCGGAACTGGCCCGCCAAGCCCTTGCATTCCACAATACCTTTTCTTTTGTGGCTCAAGTGTTAAGATGAGCCCTCAGAAATGTCTGTATTGCTAGACCCTTTCCTGTGCTCCAAAGAAAGGGGGCTTGACTGTCATGAGGAGCTGAGACTCCCAATGAAGATGTCTGTGCGCCTAACAGGGGATGCATTTTTTGACAGGACACCTCCAACACAAACATTTTAAATTCTCATCATGAAAATAATTTGGAAGAAGGAGATGGAGATTATCATTTATTTAGGGGCTTTATCAATAGAGGGCCTCTCCGGCTTTAATAAATGAAATGTGTTGCATAGAGCAGGATCATTGAGGCATGTGATACCGTGTCTGCCCATGAAGGGCTTTGAATAATTTACATCCTGGAAAGATATTTTATGACAGTGCTTATAATCTTCTTATTGGTTCAAAATCAACATTTACAGCCGACATCTTTGAGCTGATGCTGCTGATAAGCTTATTTCTTTATTATGTGACACGAATCTAACTTCCTCTGGAAAGGCAAGTTTCAGTGAAATTGATTCCTCTTTGAATATAAATAATTTATTCTCCAAAAACAGCCCATAAATAATAGAGAGCAGCTATTAATATTTCATTTTAATTAATATATTAGCAGAAGGAACTCTTAATTTGAAAGGGCATGGGAAGGAGGCTTTGGGGTTTTGCAAAGGTGCTTCATCTGGTTGGTGGCTCCATCTCTGATTAAACCTGCCCCAGAGATGCACCTTCTGTTATCAGTCTTCCCCCAGCAGAGATCTGGAGGACAGTCATAGGGTTTTCCATGGCTACAAGAGGAGGTTCTTCTGAAGGTTTGTTATGCTTTGACAATGAAGAGGAAATATGACCTCAGGTCCTCTGCAACATATGGAATAGGCATTTTGCTCAATTCTGCAGTGTCTGGAGCCTGTGGACAAAAGGTATATGGAGGGAAATAAATTATATCCACTAGCAACTGAAAGGGCTGACTGTGTACATGAGCATCTAATGCTCACGACACCACTGTGGCCTATCTGTTCCTAAAAAAGTCAGTGAAGAGATCCAAACATTAGTGTTCAGTATCAATGCTCAAATATTATTAGCTTTTTGTGATGTCAGGAGAATTAATCTAATACTCTGAGTCTTTCTTTTCTCATTTATAAGCTGACTTAATAGGTGTTCATCTCTTAACTTTGTATTAAAAAATGTGGTAATTTATGTCAATAACAGTACCATTCTAGACAGAGGTAACTAAACTGAGAGGCCCTGGTGCCCAAGGGAATGAAAACACGGGTAGTTTGAACTGGAATTTGTATTAGTTAGTTTTTTATTGCTATAACAAAATGCCAAAGATCATATGCTTATAAAAGGAAAGGTTTTTTTTTTTTTTTTTTGTCTCAGGTTTGGAGATTTCAGTCCAGATGAAGACATGAGGGGATTAGGCCCATTTGCTTGGGCCTGCAGTGAGGTCAGATGCCAAAACAGGAGCACGTGGTGGAGCAAAACCATTCACCTCATGGCCAGGAAGCAAATTCTAGAGGAAGAGGTCGGAGTCCCACAGTCCTTTTAAAGGGCTCACCTCCAATAATCTAAGGACTCACAGTGCCCACACCTCAAAGTTTCTACCACCTGCTCATAGTGCCTCAAGAGGACTGAACTTGTAACACACAGGCCTTTGGTGACATCTGAGATGTAAAGTTTAGCAGGAGTTAAAATGACTTCTAGAATATAGGATTTTCTTTCCTCTAGACCAACAAGCCAAAAAAGGGCTCACTCAGCTGGCCCAGTGGAAAATGATCCCAGATACCATGGTGGATTTTCAGTGGGCTTGGTATATCCCTTCATATTAGGGACATGACTCCTCACTTGGAAAAGCATGGCTGTCCCTTGCTTAAATTTTGGAGGGAAGCTGATTTTACTGAAACATCATTTGGGTTGTGATGCAAATGATGTCTGGATCCTCTGGTTTTCTGTTGGTTTCATTTAACAGTGAGTTAATGGCAGGGGGCCAGACAGAAAGCCAGAATCCAAGTGTGTTTTGACTTTCTGTCACTGTGACAAAATATATCTCAGAAATACAATTTAAAGTAGGAGAGATTTATTTTGGCTTGTAGTTTCAGTCCAGGGTCGCTTGGTTCCATCACTTTAGGCCTGAGACAAGGCTGAACATTGTGGTGGAGAGTGCATGATGGAGACCTAGAGAGAGAGAGAGAGAGAGAGAGAGAGAGAGAGAGAGAGAGAGAGAGAGAGAGTTATTCCCTCGCTCCCTTCCTGTGGGGGCCTCATGGTGTCTGTAATTCTGATAATTGTGACAGTCACACAGTTCTCCCCCTTTGACTCTGATTCTTATTAGGTTCTCATAATTATCCAGTCTCCTCCCCTCCTTTGCAGGGTGGCATTGGAGAAGGCAGCTCCTGTCACAAGCTCAAGGAGAAGGAAGACCAGGCCCAGTACAGCTGTCCTGTGCTTTTGGGGAGACCTGGGCCGCAGACTCCATCGCTGCAGCCACCTTGTGAGATCAGTGATTCTTCAGACTTGAAGCACCCCATGCAGTTGGCCAGGGGCCTTTCCACATGGCCTCCCCCTTCTAAGCTGAACTGTAATTCACTACAAGGTTTAGGATTTTAGAGGATTTTTGAGGTGAACAGTATACAGACTTATATAGGAAATTTGGGAAGAAGAGTGTAAATTACAAATTGACAGAATGGCACTTAATTCCACCTTTCCAGGCAGATGTGCTTGTGGGTTCTTCTGTTTATTTATCCAGTAGAAATTGACTTCCATCTTACCCAGATAGGAGGGAAAGATGCAAGACTACATCTGGACTATATCTGAGGGTGTTTTTCCTTTGTGTAATTAAGGGAAATGGGTCACCAAGAACAGATTTTTCATTTTCCAATGAAAAGCCACACCCATGATACCATGGCTTTGCTTTCAAAATCCTCAGCAACCTACTGGACAGTGCTCAAGATGAGCACTGAGTGGAGCTACGAAGAAACTTCCTACCTCTCAGGGTTGGCACTGTTCTCTTGGGTGGCGAAGCAGCTTAGATTCCTGCAGGCATCCTACCTAGCACTTCAGCCAAGTGTAGAAACTACCACAGGGCAAGCCAATGGCCATGATGGTCAGACAGAGAACATGAAACACCAGTGCAAAATGGGCACCACTTGGGTTGTTTTACTCATATTTTATGAAGCAATTATTTGGGGCCATATCCTGCTATGCAGCAAGAGGCTTAAAGATAAACATGCTTTTCAGGTGCTCCAGTGAGGCAGAGAACAGCTCAGTGGAGTTCAGTGTGTAACTACCCCATCACAAGACAAGGGGAGAGGAGGTTGCTATTCCAGAAAGAGGATGCTGCAGATGGAGGGCTGACCAAGGACTCCAGATATGACTCCAGCCTTCAGATTTAAGTCACCAGCTTCAGGACACTATGGGACTGGGTTAGGTTTGCAACTTGTTTAGCCTTGTCTGGTCTTCCAAAATGCTGATGACTGCTTGGCATTGTGATGCTATTTGACACCTACAAAAGCCCTGGAAATTTTTTTCAACCAAAGTAAAAATTATGTTGCTTAACCTGTTAATTTAGAAGCTCAGCACACTTGGTCTGGGGATACAAGGGTTGACAAACCATACTAACACGTATTTGGTCATTCGCATGTCTCTTTCTATTAAAACTAAACCGCAAGTATGTCTGTACTTAACCAGCTCAAGGCTTACCTGTACTCTTTGATTCATTCACTTGGGGCAATTCAGCAACAGCCCTCAAGTTCTTCAGTTTCTTAATCTCAAAGTTAGGTGTGGGAGCACATGCTGGCAATGCTAGCACTTTAGGAAACTGAGGCAGAAGGATCACAAGTTTAAGCCCAGCCTGAGAAACTTAGTGATTTAGATAGCCCCTGTTTCAAAATAAAAAAATAAACAAAAGAGCAGGGGATATGGTTCAGGGTGAAAGCACTGGTTTCAATTTCCAGGATCAGTGAAGAGGCACAGGGAGAGCTGAGCCTTTCTGGCTGCTGAGCAGGATCCTGTGCATGCCCTGATGGCCAGCCATGAGAAGCAGGAGGCGCTGAGATGAGAGGCCAGGTGGCAGCTGAAGAGTCAACAGAGCCGCCCATGAAGGCTGCTCCTGGGAGGTTTGCTAGAGCAGCTGGGCCATGGCAGAGGCACTTCCAATCACTGTGAGCACTACAGACCCAAAGAGGGGCCTGCGCTCTCAGTGCCCCACATGCGGGGATGGAGGAAAGTTAAGTGAATAGATTATTGGCAGCAGTTTAGAAAGGGTTAAGGGGATATCTGTGAGGGACAATGAAGCACTTCGGGGACAGCAACATGGTGTCCTTGCCACCCTAAGGCCTGACTTGTAAAGGGAGGAAAGTTTGCCAGAACTTACAGCAGGTGTCCTTGTCAGAGAGGGCTGCTGATTGGAGCTGCTGCTTTGAGAACCCGGTGGGCCATGAGCACTCTCCAGTGGGCAGGGTGAGCCCTGCAGGATGGTCCCTGTCTTGTTTGCCGCCTGCCCTCTGACCTCTTAGGAGTGTCCTTATGGGGAAGACCCAAGGTATAGTTCTAGTTGGAGGCCTCTTCTGATGTATTTGTATAGGCCAGGTTGTGGGCTCAGAGCAGGCTTAAGGGGCAGCTATGAAGGCCCCCACACGTGGGATAGGCACAGTGACAGAGATGGAGGCACAGCATGATTGAGGAAAAGAGGAGATCAGCCTGCATGCACCCCACTTCCAACTTGCAGACTCATGCACTCCTCAGGATCTCTGGCTAGGTGGCTATTGCTACTTAGATTTTGCAAGAGAGGAAACTGAGGCTGGAAAGACTGAGTACTGGACTTTCTAGTCAGTCATCTTAGCTAGGTAAAGAGCCTGTGGCTGTTTCCAGCAGGAATAGGCTATGAGACCTTCCCTGGGACCTGTAGGGTGGTTCCGCCATAGGCTTCAATCTCTTTTCTCCAGTGTTAGAAGAAGCTGGTCCTTGATGGCTTCCTATGGGGGACAGTCCCTGATCCTTCCTCAGTACTCCTGTACCTTTCTCTAGTTGTGAGGATATGCAACCCACAGCTCAGGTACAGGGTGTGAGGTGATCTTCCAATGCATTTGCTGAAGCCCTGAATCCCTGTCTCCTACCCACCCTAGTCACCAATTACAGGCTGGGAGTTAAGGTCTCCTTTCAGTGGCTCTGTACTCCTGTTTGATCTTTCCAAAGTACCCTCCCCTTCTCTCTCCTTTTCACTATTTCATGTCCTGAGCTATCCGGGGGTTTCTGTGTGATGCTCAGTAGGTAGGACTTTGCTACATCATTGGGGCTGGCCTTGCAAAGTGCCAAATAAAGGCTGTAGGTGCCTGAGATGAGAGGAGGAAGCATGTGGAGAAACACAGTGAGTGAAGCAGGCAGGGCTTGAAGACAAAGGAAGAACTCAGAGAGCTCTAAGAAGGCAGTGGGGGCTTTTGGGGACATCCTAGTTGGCTCGGGACTGGGGTGCATGAGAAGCCAGGAGAGCTGCCTGTCTGGCTGTCCTCGGCGAGTGTGTGCTCGACCTGGAATGGGAGGCCTGGAGCAATCGGGCACCCGACGGTGAGTAATAAAGCTCTCAATCCTGTGGCGCAGACATTTTTATTAGCTGTTGCATGTACAGATGTAGCAATTTTTAGAACAGAGGAACAGTGACATATACCCTCGGGCTGCTGTAGCTCCTGCAGTCTTGATTCTATATCTCAGGCTCTGAGCAGAAGGACGGAATCCTGCCCTGTCTTCCATGCTGGGTGCTGAGCCACAGGGGCAAACATCTTGTCTCCAGTAATGTCTTGCTCACCAGACTCACCTGGGGGATGTGGTAGAACACCCCCGTGCCGTGTTTCTTCTCTAGTGAAACTGGTAGAAAGCCCAAATTATTTTATTTCTAGCAAGTGGTCAGGTGATACTGAGGATCTTCCTTCAGGGACTGCACTTGGAGAGCCACTGTATCAGAATCTCCCGCCCATCCTGACTGCCTGTAAGAAATCACCTGAAAAGTCTTTAAAGCACACTGAAGCCTGAACCTCACTGCAGATCAGCTGCAACATGGAGCCAGGCAACACGCCCATCACAGCTCCCCATAGGGTTTTCTGTGTCAGTCTACAGACACCTCAGCTCAGGGTCTCCACTCATCAAAGAACCTTGTGCTTATCATCTTGACAAGGTCAAGAATGACTGTTTTTGACCACAGTAGGGGGCAAAAATTGGACAAAATACCCATACAGATCAATCAGACACCACTCTTCCAACTCTTTTTTTGTTCATTGAATCAGCCAACAAATATTTATTAAACGGGAAAAATGTACCAGGAATTAGGCTGGGCACTGAAAATAGAAGAAAAAAATGGTAAGCGATATCCACTGGGGCAAGCTGGGAACCATTTTTGTTGCAGGAGATAAAGTATAGATGATCATATAATGTGAGTTCATCCATCCTCAGTGAACTCTTTTGCCGCTTGCATAATGCTCCAGGGTTCTGAGTCTCATTAAATGGAATAAATGGCACTAGAGTGCGGACAGGTAATTGACATCCTATGAAAGCTGACCAGGTAAATAATGATCCTTGAAGAAACTTCTCCTTGCTTCCCATAGGTATATGAAACTTGTACAGGAGCGATGGCTGTGTAACTCTTGTCCTAAGGGCTTGGTTTTCTAGAAAGGAGGATGGACATTTGGGATTTGTCATATATGGGAAGCCAACCGGGTCATATTAATATTTTTATTTACTTTTCATAGAACTTGTAGTATAGTGATTTTATCAACTCAAGGTTAAATAACTAGGTAAAACACAAATAAAATTTGAGAGTTTTCACAGGTATATCTGACAAATATAAATTTAGAAACTGCAAAGCACAAATACTACAGTCTTCATGATTTTTTAGGATAATAATTCTAGGAAAGAAGATCATTGTAGAATTCAAGTTTAGTAGAACAACGGCAATTCACTCAGTGTGTGCAGCCGCTTAAGTCATAGGTGACTCAGGTGGTGGGGTGCCTGCTCTGCAGGACATCTGGGAGGACCCTAATAGCTGGCAAATGAGGCACTAATCCCCGTGGAAAATACAGTAGTTTTGATTCATGTCAGTGTCAGTTCTCCCCACTCCAACACACTAGTTGATGTTGGGGACTGTCCCCAAGAAGTCAGTCATATCGCCAACAGATTTGCTTTCTTGAGTCAGCTTTCTTGTCTCCAAGACACAGTGATACCAGCTTAAGGGAGGATATGTTTAGTTGGTTCTTGGTCTCAGGGGTTTTAGACCATAGTCAGTCAGCTCCAATGCTGAAGCATCGAGGTGGGAGGGCATGGAGGGGCCAAGATGTTGGTTCATGTTATCTAGGAACAAAGGCAAGAGAACAGTACCAGAGAAAAATATGTGAGAGACAAGACATAGACCTGAAGGCCACGACTCCAGGACACACCCAGGCACACCCAAAAGTGTGCTCCACCAATCCCCCAGACCGACCCTGAATTCAGTCACAGAGAGAAACTGGAGTCAGATGAGGCAGTGTGGATCTGGGATGGGGGGACAGAGCAGATTCTATCAAGGTGTACGCACGTATGTGTGTGAC